AGGTGAATAGGACTGGGGATGAGTTCCCCCACCCACCCATTTTTCTCTCTCTAATTTTCAAAATTCCACAAATGGAGGGGGAAAACAAAGGAGGAAAGATGCCTTCAAGAAAGGAAGACAAACAGCACAAAGTTTCCACTGCCCCAGGAGCCTTCTGAATCTTGATTGGGAAAGTCTATCTTCCTCCCTTCACTGTGGATTAACCAGAAGCCTGTGAAGAAGGGAAGCTTAGCAATGCAAGGCTCTTTATCCAGTCGAGGTAAATGAAGTTCGGCTGGTCACGAGAGTAAATAAGATTAGTTATGGGCTCCAGGTCATCCACTCATGGAGGTCAGCGAGTGTGAGATTATTATCCTTGGTAGAAGAGCAGCAAAATAGCATTAAGGAATAAATTAATGAAAAAGGTAGAAGATTATTTGAACTAAAGCCCTAATCAGTTTAGAGATTTCACTCAACTGCTCTACTGGCCATCAGTCAAGCTCACAAAACAAATATGCTTGTTCTCGTAAGTAATTCCAGGAGATCTGCCTTTCGTGCTTCAAAGACATCCAATCTAAGGAGAGTCATGAATAAAGTTACCCCAGTTTGCTGTTACACCTCATACGGAATCCACTGAAGCATTAAGGTGCGGGCATTAAAAGGGTAAAACACACTATTTATCCCACATGCATAATTGCTAGTAGCGCTGTCTGGTCTTTGATTCCAAATAGAGTATCACTCCACATCCATTCAGAAACACTGAATCCACCAATGTGCAAACTGCATACGTTATTAAATAAACACAAACTAGGAGATAATGACATACATTTGTTTTCATTACAAGTAGTAATGCAATATTTCTCCAAGGCTTCCTGCATTAGCATTTCTTGCCACGTTTCAAATGCCTTTGAACTTTCTGAAAAGCTACATCTGTTAGCTCCCGTGTATACAGCAGAAAGTTACCGAGTGAATTAAGTTTTAATAAAAATTGCTTTGTTCGCTATGAAGATTGATGTTGGACACACTGTACTGTAAGTTGCAAACTGCAATTACAATTCGTTGCAATTATCTTTGGTTGTTAATAGCACAAGATAGCATGTCACTTTCTACCAAGTGTATAATTTATCATTTGTGTTTTTTTCCCGTGAACTCTTGTGGTATTCCAAATGTATAATCTTGTTGTATTTATTTCCCAGTGGTCCAACAAAATGCACAGCAAGTGCTGACTAGAACAAACTAAAAAGCACTGCTATTGACAAGCCGTCAGTCGGGTGGTAATGAACATTCTGGCTCTACTTTCACCTCAACAAACCAGCAGCTTTAATTTATGATAAAGCAAAGGAGAGGCAACCTCCAGGTTTATTATACCCTCAGTGCTGTTTCAAATAAAGTAATTAGAAGGTCAAGAGACAGGTCTGGAAAGCCAAATATAAATGCAACCCTTCTGTACCGACATTAAAAAAAAAAAAAAGACTGGTGTGTTCAAAGAACATTTTATCCATCTTTCTTCTGCAGAGCGGGCGAGTCAATTTTTTTTTAATACCACCGTAACCAATCAGTAACAGTGGCAGCTCCATTCTTTCGCTCTCTAATTTGCTCCATATGGACCGGGAGCAGCACACCTAAGATACCGTCCTTAGGAGAAGCGGACGGACGGATCCCCCAAACTGCTCTGAACTGCATACCTTAGGACAGGTGACTTCGGAGCTTGATTTTTTTTTTTTTTTAAGAAAAAAAAAACTCAATCAGTGAAGAGCTGGAAAGGTTCTGAAGAAAACAACAGCCCTCAAACAAAGAATTCCAAATGCATTAAGAACAGTTTGCTTAAACCGTTTCCTGAAAAAGCACCCGCGGAAAGGGAGCTGACTCGCAGAAAACCTCCCCTTCCGTAGACTTTGTTTTGGGGCTGGAGAAACAGGCGACGCACCAGCACGCTGGTCCTGAGGAACTGTCCGCTCGCATCCTGCCTCCATCTTCAAGGCTCCATGTTTGGCATCTCTTGTAGCTGTGTTGCTTCTCCCTCCAGCTTTTATTCTCTTGCGTAACAATGACCCCCCATTCAATAGAGTCCCCAATGCCTTGGGACCCAATGCACTGGGGTTCAGATCCAGTCTACCTGCTGAGCGCTAAGTTAGGACATTTTCAGAGGCCCGTGGAATTGCCTTTGAACACTCTGACACGTGGATTATTTTAGTGGGACATAATGTCCCAGGAACCGCCTCCCTTTCTCCCCTTAGCCTACTGTTCCAAACCCTCGTCCTGGCCGCTTCCCAAAAGGAAGGTGTGAGAAGGAGGAAGGAAGCATGGAAGCAGGTGAGGGGGTACGAGGGAAGGAAGGCGAGAAAGAAAGGCAGACAAAAGCGGAGCTCACCCAGCTTCTGCACAGGGGGCCATGGGCTACCTCACCGGTGCTTTAAACAGTTGTTAAAAGACAAAGCCTCTAAAATGATACAAGTCGTTCTTGTGCCATAACTTACGAAGACTCTAATAGCTACTTGGAGGTTATTATACTCATCCTGATCCACCTCTTTTTTGGGGGGGAGGGTCCTGCAGGGCATACACTCCAAGAGCCTTTCTGAAATAGCATTTGGTTGTGTAATTTTTGCTTGAAGTAATTTTTACCATTGTCTGTTCAAGTAGTCGGTATAATTACACTTGATTATATAAGTGATGGAAATGGATGTAATCTCATAATTAGAACATGTAATTATGTTGTAAAAATCCTTATGAAACTGTAAAGCAAAAAGTACACAAGTATAGTAGGTGGGGTGGGTTTTTTTTTTTTTTTTTTTTTTTTGGTCTCCACCCAGAAAAACAACTGAAGCAATGACTCTGTCATCGTGTGCAGGAAATGAGGAATATGTTTTGGGTGCTCCTCTACCTAGGAAAAGGAATAAACAGCTTTGATCCAAGAACACCTGGTCTCCCCAGTGTCAAAAAGAATATGCCAGTCAGGCATTAATAAAAAAGACAACAAATACACCCCATGATGCAACTGTATACATGGATGTCAAATGGTTCTGAATCTCTGAACACACGCACTGAGATGAGTACAGAATAGCCTATCTGAGCCGACGGCTCCAATCCAGAGATACGTTTTCTTCTATCATTTCTGTTTTTGGTTTTTCCTTACTTATTTTACACTAAAACAAAATGCTCCAAATAATTTGTATAATTAGTGGGAAGATAAGTGTAGAAATAACTAGATCATTTTCAATGTACCTTTTGAGGCAGTAATGCCCACCTTTTCTCCAACTAGATAAAAAAGTATTTGGCTGGCTGGCATTCCCCAAATTTCCCCTCTTTCTTGATCGTTTGCTGGAGTTTCTAATGGGCAATGAGATGTTCAAAATGCCGTGTTGTGCAGTGGAATAACAGGCACAGAGCATGAGTGGTTCCAACTGGAAGATGAGGCTCATGTCACTGGGCCGTGACCGCTCAACTACATGGCGCATCTCCACCAAACAGGAAACCCTCCAGGAGGAAACCCGGCTCTACTTTTCCCCCAGGGAGACCTATATACCTATAGACCTATATACCACCTATATATAAAAATAGAGGCGTTCCTGGTTTCTACCTTTGGGGCCGAGCGCTGAGGTAGGTTTTTTAGGAAGAAGCAAAGGGAACTTGGAGAATGATCACTGTTCCTTGTGCGGGTCAAGGCCCTGGACTTGCATTTATCTTGCAGCTATTCATATTATGTGCATAAACTGCTACTAAAGAAGTGTCAATGGTTCTAAGAGTGTGTCAGGGCCTGAAGTAAGTCTATGGTTGTCGCTGTTGGTTACACCCCCCACCAACCCCCTTCTTTCTTGCTAACAGAACCTCTATTTTACTCTGGTGTTCAATATCCAGAGAAAATGGACTCTACTGTCAACCCAGGAGTAAACCCTGGCTGGTAAGTGGAACATGGTGTCTCCATTTCCCTTCCCAGTCTTTGGTCTAGGAGTGGAGGTCCGACCCATATTTCAGCAATGAGAGCAGAGGGGAGGTCAACTGGGAGTTTCTAGGAAGCATATCCTCATTTTGGGGAAGAGCCGATCTGTGTTCATGTTTGTTGTGTTTACATCTGGATGCGATGGCTGGAGCAGCTGCAGCCATTTTGAAATAGGAAGTCAGCATGAGGGTAAAGGTTAGGATGCAGGGCTTTAAAGAGAAGACTCCAGGTCATTGATGACATTATGGGACCTGTGACCACGTCTCACCTATGACTGTCCCACTGCTGAACTTCTGTGATGGGAGATAATAATGGCCCTGTTGGGGCCTCTGTGGTGGCACAAGGGGTTAAGCACCGCACTACGAAGCAATCCACAGCCTCTGCAGCATGAGTTCGATCCCCGGCCGGCCAGGGAGCAACCCACATGGTGCAGCAGACCTGTCCTGTCTCGCCCACTGCTCCCCTCAGCAGTGGCTTTCAGTAGGTCTGCCTGTTCTGTTCCCCACTCTGTATCTGGTGAATCCTCTCACACACACACCCTCCGCCCCGCATCTCTGGCCTGTACCCCAGCTCTTGCATGCATAAATAAATAAATCTTTAAAAAAAAATAATGGCCCTATTTGAGCCAATCTGAGGGAGAGCACAACTTGACACTGTACCCATTTGTCCACTATGGAGGGCCAGCATTTATATTTTTAATTTAGTGGCAAGCAACCCAACACATCTGAATTTAGAGCTTATTCACTAAAATCAAACTGATAACTGCCTGTATTACTGCTAGAGGTTTTTTGTTTGTTGGTTTTTGTTTTTTTTTTTAATGGGTAGAATACTTGTGGAGAGCACTTTGTCAATATCATTAAGACTTATGAAGAGGTTTATAAACTTTGATCCAGTATTTCACTTTGGGCAAGTTATCACGGGAATATAAATGAAAGCACAGAGAAACATTAATATTCTTCATTTGCTAGAGCTTTATGCATTCATTAAAAATGCTAATTAAAACTGTTAGTAAAACAAAAAAGTGGCAAATGAAAAATGAAGATTATAATAACACGAAAACAACAACAACATTCAACATGTCGTCATGTGTTTAAGAGCTCGGAATAAAACCTACAAAAAAATGATCAGAGTTGGGGTCATGGTAGGGAATGAAAAGCGAGTTATTTTGCTCTATTCTTTCTTCCCCAAATTTCCTAAATAGAAGACACTCGAAGTTTCTACCCTGCATTATTCATCTCCTTGGTATAATCTGAGGGCCATGCTGATTGAAAATGTCTTCTAGACTGGTCGAGCCCGAGGAAAGCACTTGAGAAGATGGAGGAAGCTCCTTGACACAGGATTTCTTCATAAACTACATTTTTCCTTCAAATTCAGACTTCTTTTTAAGGAGATGATTACTCCATGATTTGCGTAAGGGCAACCAGTTTGGCGTGGTGAGCTAAAACACCATCACTCAAAGAAGTCCATTGGGAAAATTTCCTACTTCCATGTAAGAGAAAGAAAATGCCAATGCTTTGATTCAAGTGCTCTGCTTCGGAATAAATTCACCCGGACTCACAGAGGCACCAGGTGGGGGCGGGGAGGTATTAGTGCATTCTCTTAAATAAAAGCAGGGACATAGGTGCTTCTTCTCACAGAAGCCAGTAGCACTATTGACAGAGTCCCAAAGCCACTCACGATATTCTACATAATTAAGAGGGATTGTTGGCATCAGAGGAACCAGAAATGTTCTGTAGATTAACTGCTTACCTCATTGCTAATGACTGCCCAATTTCTTTAGACTAATTGGTGCAATCTACATTTTTGCAGCAAAGATGAAGTATCAACTTGATTTGGTGTCGATAAAAAATTGATGGATGCTGCTGACTGCTACTTCTCAACAATACACAGATTATTACTACTATAATTATCATAAATACAAAACATGGGCAAGTGGTGATTACAAGTCTAATTCTATCTTGAGGTTTTAATGGCATAAACCACTCAGGCTTTACACTCATGATTTACTGCATCATCAAAATCCCTGAAAGGATTACCCTTGGGTGAACACCACTCATTATCTCACCAATAATGCACTGGCTTGGCCCAACATGGAACAAATAATCAAGACTCGGTTCTTAGAAAAGTCCTTCTTAAATATATAAATCTCTAGCTGAGGAGGCTGTGTACCTGCCAAAGCCTTCCTCTTCATTGTTGGATGCTACAGTTGTATTTCGTTCTGACACGCAGAGAGGCTGGAGCCTCTAGCCACACACCGACCGAGCCCTAGGCCAGAGCTGTTACCACCACAGCTCTGACAGTGCTGGCTCCTCTCCTCCCTTCCTGGCCCCCCCAACAGTCATCTGGCCCATCTGAGGTGGGAGCACCACCAGGCAGAGAAAGAGGTGCTCCCACGTGGGGAGGCACAGATTCCAGACTCAAGAGAGTAGCCCCTACGATAAAACAGACATTTAGGAGCACATCATTCCAGAACTTGGGAGACCCTCGATAAAGTGTTACCAGGACCCAAGTGGGCCCCAAAGAGTACAGCAGTGGAGGGGCCTCCCTGGTGGTGCAAGGGGTTAAGACACAACCTATGAAGCTATTGGCAGCCACTGCAGCATGAGTTCGATGCCCGACCAGGGAGCTACCCACATGGCGCAGCAGACCTCTCCTGCCTCCCCGCTGCTCCCCTCAGCAGTGGATTTCAGTAGGTCTGCCTGTTCTGCTCCCCATTTTGTCTCTGGCAGGTCCTCTCACCCCCCAAACCTCTGGCCTGCACCCCAGTTCTTGTATGCATAAATAAATCTAAAAAAAGAAAAGAGAACAGCAGTAGAAGTGGGGGTGGTGGCCCCCAGGCAGGTGCCATCTATCCCCTCGCAGATGGGCAGCCACCTACTGGGTCAGGCAACTGTTGAGGGGTGGCTGGGAAGGGAGGGCGACCAATGCTGGCCGTCTTCTGGGGTTTTCTTCCCCAAGAAGTCAGACATCTTCACTGGTGTGGGAATTCTCCAGGTTTTAAAATGTTGGCAAACAACTCAACTGCATTTTTCAGCATGATGGTGGACAGGGTGGGTTCTGGGACAAGACTGTCTGGAGTCGGACGCTTGCTCCACTCGTGTTTGGGACACTTCATGGCACAGTCTTGAGGAAGAAATGGAGGCCCAGCAAGGGATCCCGACACAGAGCACTCGCCCGATAGCGAGCAGTGGGCCTCAGGCTGGACAAGGCCTCTTGGCTCTTAGCGTGAGGCCTCTGCTGAGGGAAGAGATGATCTGAGGCGAGACAGAAAACTGGCCTGGGGCCAGCACGAGGCTCATCTCGCGCCGTGGAGCTCTCTGCTCTTGCTACGTGCTGGAGGCTGCCCGGCCTCGTGAGTCACTTTATGAAGCCTCGGCTTTCTCATCTGGCAAACAGGAATAACAGGACTCCTGCTTCAGACAGGGCTGTGAAGCTGACGTTGAAAAATCTGCAGGAAGCACAGGGTTGGCCCAGAGCAAACAGTCAGTAAAGAGGAATCGTCTTCACTTACTTTTAAAGTTGAATTTTCCCAAAGTCTTTGAAGTTTTTATCTTTTTTGCAAAGCTGGTCCAAATCCTCTGCTCCTGTCTCAATCCTTTCTGCCTTGGGCTCTTTTTGCTGAGTCCATAGCTTTGTTATTTTATTACTAGTTACTAACTATGGGCACTGTGCTTTTTCTTTTTTTTTAATCCATGCTGTTTCTTAAGGTGTGACTTTGTTACATTGTTGTCAAGTTTAACCAACTGCTGCAACAATCAAGTGTGTGTAAACAGCATCTTAGGAGACATGAAAGCAGCTACAACAGTCCACTGAAACATAGTTGCTCTGTAATAATCTGTATCTGAAACCACCCATTTAAGGACTCCAAAGTAGCTTGGTGCAGCAGTTGAGCGCTGGGTTGTGAAGCGGCCCGAAGCCTCCACGGTGCCGGTTCGATCCCCGGCTGCTCCCCGGCCCCCAGAGGAGGGTCCCACCTGGCGCGCAGACCTCTCCTGCCGCCTGCTGCTTCCCTCAGCAGTGTGCTTCGGTCCTTCTGCCTGCTCTGCTCCCCGCTCTGGCTCTGGTGAATTCTCTCACCCTCCCGCGCTTCTGACTGTACCCAGTGCATGTATAAATAAATAAATAAATCTTTAAAACAAAAAACACAGCTCTCTATTTTTGAGCGGTCTGCAATCCAGGTGTATCTTCTAGCACCTGTCGGCCAAGCCCAGCACGTAGAGTGACATGTTAACGGCCTTCTCCAGCTGAGTTAGGACAGTGATTACTTGGCTCACACGACCTTAAAAGCCACACACAGCAGACTCAAGGCTCCCAAAGTTTCCCTCCTGTTGGGGCACAGTGGGGAGGTGGTGGGTTCCCTCTAAATTTCCTCTCTAAATCAGATCATCAAGCACAGCGCTGCAGACTCTGAAAACCAAAGTGCATACCCCACTAGCAAAGAAAAGCGTGTTTCCTTAAGATGCCTGCAAGATGGATACAGAATATAGTAGAAGCATCAGCTGGCTCTCCTTGCTGAGAGTGGACATGCTTCAAGTCACAGACGTCCTCTGTCACTTACTTGTGACTTTCAAATACCCTTTTAAGTGCATGGAGAATCTTATATGTCACAGCTATTTGGGGAAATAAATTAAGGGTATGATCTGGATTCTGAATACCACCAGACCTCCAGGTATAGGCTCTTGCTTCCTGATGTCAGTTTTCCTCGGTAACTCACCAGGTAAATCTCTGCGCCTCCCCAGATCTTCAATCACGGAAAGTGAGTCAATTCATAACCAAAAAAAAAAAAAAAAAAAAAGCTGTGCTTTGCAACAGAAAGTCATCCAAAAATTTCCCAAAGAAACTTCTCCTCCAGATAAGAATCTCCATAGCTTCTTGTTGTCTGACACACCTACGTATGGATTTTACAACCACTGGATGTAAATTAACTTTGTTTTCTCTGAGCCGATTTAAATATGAAATAGCAGCGCTCCTAATGGCACCCTTTCCTGTCACCTTCTGGGAAGTGTGCAGGCCATCTGATGCTCAAGAGGTGGGTGCGATTAAAGCGAAGTTCCCTCTGGGAATATTCTAATGGAACCGCCATCCACTCTCCTTCCACTGCCCTCCCCTCTCCAAAAGACTCACGATTTAAAAATGCCCAAATCCAATAAGAGATATCGCTTACTGTCGGGGATGCACATACCAGAGGAAGTGCCGGGGATAAAGGAAATCTGTGAATCAGAGAAAGATGTTGGTATGCAAGATTGAAGATAGTCCAGCTGGCCCACTGCTTCAGCTGGTTTCCAGAGGCCAGGAAGAAATTAGTCTCACAGTTCAGTTGAAAGAACACCTGGACATTCACCCAGAGGCACAAATTCGCTGTTGAACAGGGTTATCTTTGTTTCCAAACCAAACACACCTAGGAATCAAGTTATTTCAAATCCTGTGACTCGCACTGTCCGAAATCGCTAGTCTTCATAAAAATCAGGAGGTGGGGGCGAGGGGGCAGGGATTGGTGGTAAAAAATATTAGGGGCAACAGGACTGGTTTGAAAGGCTGGGACAGTCTTCCTTGGACGCTCAGGACTGGGTTGGAGCATGTCCTATTGATTTCCTACATACATTTCACTGAAGATTTACAAATGTGAATAGCTGGGAGGGAAGGAATTGTATGCAGGCCAAAGACTGTGCACTCTGCCCACGGCCAAGAGGACATACTCGAGCTCCCGAGGCCTGGAAGGGTGGTTACATTTGCTCCACGCTCCTGTCTGCACAAACCTCGGAGCCAGTTTCTCATCAGCGTGCCAGCCCGCGAGTGTGGGAGATGGCGGAGTGCAGCGGACCTTCAACTCTGACACTAATTCCTTCCTCCCGGGGAGGGTCAGGTTGAGTCTTGCCGTGGAGCAGAGAGCGGGGTGTCTGGGTGGGTGAGTCATGGAGGGTGCTCCATGATGGCAGGGAGATTACTGGGCTGGATTCAAAGCAGAAAGGCCAGATGTGTACGTGGGAGGCAGGTGGGACCAAGGGTGGTGGAGGCGTTGGCAACATGTGAAAGCAGAGGCACTGGCAAACACCTCTGGCAAAAGACTCTCGGTGGGAGGCCTGGGCAGCCAGTGTGGAATGCAGCCTGGGAACTGGGCTTTTGGGAGATACCATCTCAGAAGCAGCATCGGGCCCTGATCTTGGGGAAAACCCCGTCCTGCTGATTTTGTTGCTCGCTGCTTCCTGCCAGTCCATTTCCATCCCCTTTCTTTGACCGAACTATTCATGGGCTTCATCCTCTTTCCTTGATCCGATCTCCCAGGCTTGCCGAGCCTTGCATCTGGTGTTGGTTGTTTTGTTTTAATTTTTTATTGAGGTATAAGTTACACATTAATTAAAAATACTGCAGGGATGGGCCTCCCTGGTGGCCTAGGGGTTATGTGTCAACACTAATCACTGCTACGGCCTGAGTTCCATCGCCGGTCAGGGAGCTACCCACATGGCGCAGCAGACCTCTCCTGTCTCGCCCGCTGCTCCCCTCAGCAGTGGATTTCAGTAGATCCGCCTGTTCTACTCCCCATTCTGTCTCTGGTGAGTCCTCTCACCTTCCACACCTCTGGCCTGTACCCCAGTTCTTCTACACAAAAATAAAATAAAAATTAAAAAAAAAAATACTGCAGGGGATGTTAACATAGTTGGATGAATTGAAAAGATTTTTTTTTTTTAATTTGGAAGTGACTTTAAATTTACAGAAAATCCAAGCAGAGCAACCCCAGATACCCATCTTACTCCTTACCCAAATTAATCAACTGTCAACATCTCTGCTGCACTCCTTGCTGGGTCATGCACTGCTTGATAACACGGTCCAGGGCAGAGTCACCAGGCACCCTGCAGGAAGCGCCATGGTGGTGCCGGGGACAGCACGAGGGTGACAGGCTCTTCAAATCGCACCAACACTACTGCACGCAAACAGCCCGACTCCTTGAAGCCCGAGTCTGAAGTACAACGTGGCAATCCAGAATTTCCCCAGATGGCCCATATCAGGAGCTCAGCGCGCTAAGAAGCACTGAATGGTGCAGGTGTGTGTGTATTGGGGGTCAGGGGGAGGGTGAAATACAAGAGGGAAATATTTGTTTAGATAATGTTTATCAGGTAGTTTTCTGGATTGCAGTTTTTCCTCAGAGCCTTTAGTGGGACCCGCTAAGAGGCTCTGGGAACCTCCAAGAATGGGGAGAGGGTCGAGAACATCCCTATTGCCAAAGGACACGGGGTTAGCTCACAGCATCAGTGTCCCGTTGAACACCCTAGGAAGAGTGCTCTAAGTTCTCCTGGAAGGAAAAACTAGAGAAGGCTGTGACGCAACAAGTAAACAATGGTGGAATATCCTAGAAGAAGCCCACAACTACCAATGAGCTGTCCCTAGAGCATTTCTGAGATGCGGTTGGTATGGTCTTAGTTTCAACCGTCTCACACGCTGACCACTCAGAAACCTGAATTAGCTCCCCAAGACTCACTGGATCAGGCCTAGATTTATCAGAGGTGACGGAAGGAGCTGGGAACCCACAATTATTCTCTACTAAGTGCCAGGCCTTGCTTTCCCTTCAGAAGCACAGCGGAGTATGTGGGTTCCTCAGTCTGCTGTACCCTCAGCCCCAACACAGGTTCTGACTTGTAGCAGGAACTCAAGGATATTTCTGAAATCAAAATGAATCTGTTTCTCAGTGTGATGACACATTCATCAGATGGATTTCCAGGAGTTCCACATAAATGTTTTATTATGAGACCAAAGAGGTTCTGGGTGAGGGTCTGTAGCCTGCAGGCAGTGTTTATTTTGGCTCGTAGAGGGTTTTAAAATAAAATAGACAACATGGAAGAGTTGGCAGATTTCTGTGGAGTACCGAGGTTTCCAGTTTCTTCTGTAATATCAGAAGATAGGGTAACACGAGGCCAGCATTTGCATAAGGTCATGGCCAGCACAGAGCAGGCCAGGCCAGAGGTGAGGAGCCGTCTGCCACCGTCCCGACCACTTTCACCAATTCCCCACCACGAGGCCTTGTGGGTTGCCCGTGAGCACAGGCCTGGGCCTGGGCAGTGCAGGCGTTTGAGCTCGTGACTTCTGATCTACATCACAGGAGCCCCCTGAGATGGTTCTTATTATGAGTCAGGTGCCTGTCTGAACACTTCTAGCTATCCATTGACAACATGCGGTGGCTACTCTTCATTATTTCTGTTTTACAATGACGGCAGGGCAGAGAAGGGGGGGTAAATCACCAGCTCCCGGGCTCACAGCCAACAAACAGCAGAGTGGGTTTGAACTCAAGACTGGCAGGCACCAGAGCTGTGGCCTCGACCCCCGCGGCTGTCACGCGGTCCCACAGACATGCTCTCTTTCCTAATTTTCATGTCGTACCCCCAAAACTATACTCAATGGTCTCAACAGCAAAAAAAAGAAAAAGAAAAAAGAAAGAAAAGAATCATATTTCCTTTG